GTAAAAATTAATTAAGATGCATACAATTATTTTACTATGACCTAGAAGCATGAGAAAAGCGACCGCTAAGAGAAGCATAATAAAAACGCAACTACGAGTGTTTTTCAGTGTGCTCTGTGTCTCTGTAAAAAATAAGTCTCTCAAAAGCTCCATAAATCCTCATCTTTGAAGCCACTCAAACGAAGATATTGTGCAACTGTTTACAGCAGTGATTCGAAAGCAATAAACACAACTGCAAAAAATCTCGCGACTGCGTCATCTGATCATTTCTTCGATGTCCCAGAGGGGCGGTGGTTTCATACTGAAACCGCAATGAAAACATTCAAATTTAAAAAGGTTCCATTACTTTTTTTTGTGAACTAAGGACATTTCATTACTCATTGATGCCTGCTTATAAAATATATTGTGGAAAAATTAAAATTTTTTGGGTTTTTTGCTTTTAAAATGAGTGAAAAAGAGTAGGGTGCAAAAGAAGGTATTTTTGAATATTTCGTATCAATTAATGGATGCCCAGAAAGGTTTGCTGCTGTCATCTGTTATCAGCTTTAAGAAGTAATTTAATTTGAGCAGCGGTTTTGAGGGGGAAAAAAAAAACAAAATTTTCTAAATTTAAAAAAAAATGTTGAAAATGCGGTTTCAAAGCGAAATCACCGCCCCTGCGTAATTGTACTCTTTTGCTTTCCAGAAAAATCGAGAAAATACCAGAATATTCTCGTTCTGGTATAAAAAGCTTAAAAAAGCTGGAAGAAAACATCTCAATTCAGTTTTTTACTTAATGCTGTTTTTGATAGTAGCGAATTCGCGGCGAGATCGGATTAGCTTTCTTTACGTTTCTCTGTTTTGATTTGAGCTCTGTTGAACGTTTTAGTAGTTTAAAATATAACTACTGTGAGATAGTGCGATATTATATGAATATCTCTGAGGAAACTTGAGAATTTTGTATTTATTTTTGGAATAATAATAAATTTTATTAAATTCTTATCGACTTGTACATTCAATCCATTACGAACCCGTACGCACGCAACAGCATTCTAATATTAGAAAATGCCCTTCTTATAATTCAAACATTAAAAATGGCTCCATCACCTAAATATTTAAATTTTTTTTATTAAGTATGCGAAGAAAAATTAAAGTGATTTTCTTAATAGATGAGAGTATTAGATTTCATCAATGTATGAAGCAAGAACTACTGATGTCATAAATGGAGAAGACCGGGTATGGATTATGAGTGTTTGAGTATGGCAAAGCCAAGAGAGCTCTCTGCTTAAGAGGTGGGATGCGTTCATGGAGGATTTCTGAGAGAAATTGGCTCGTATTTACGTTATACATGGAAAAAAAATCATAAAAACCAACCTGCAACCAGCCCGTCCGCCTGATATCGAACCCAATTCAGGTGGAGCTCCCAGTACTCAGCGGTGTTAACCACTCTGCCATCGGTGTGGCGCAGACGAAGAAGAATCGCAGATACTTGGGTTCACTGAAAGATTGACTCGTCAACAGTCTGAATGTGTGATGGATTAAAATACAGGAAGTTTACTCCTTTGCAACATTGACGAGTTAACTGGATCATAATGAGCATTTCAGCACTTATGTTCAGTTAACCGAAGAAAATTTACAAGGTATTTCAAAGCTTGATTGAAAAATTTTGAAGTATGATAGAATTCACCTCAAGAAACAGTTTCACCAAAGAATACATATACGTAGTTTAATATCTTAGGTTCTGTTGGGCTCTTTTCTGCCCCAACGCGGGTTCTTCCGCATAACGAAGATATATGCCGCTTTCAGGCTTGTGGTATAAAAGTTGTTGTTTTTCAAATACACCGTCGTCTTTCTTTTTGTAATCATTTTGACTTTGTATTTCTCATTTTTCTCCTTTCTCGTATGTGCTTTCGAGTTATGATACGGTTTTGCATCTCAAATGATGATTTTTATGTGTGTGTATGTGATTATAGTAAAGCCTCGAGGGCTATCTGCCTAAGCGGAGGAATGCCTTTGTGGAGGACTTTCTAAAGGAACTGGCTCGTATACACATTACACTTAAGGAAAACCACGAAAACGCCCATGCAGCCAGCCCGTTCGCGGACTTCGAACCTCGGACCGAACTACCAGTGCTCAGCGACTTTACCACTTGGCCGTTGGTGGGCGATGATTTTTATATTTGATATATTTTTAATTCATGGTAAATGTGGAGCTCTGTCAAACAGTACAGTAAATTTAGGTTAAAAGGTAATGGTTTTATTTCTTTAATTACCTTCTACACCATTCCGTTTGACTTGATTTGTGTCGAATGGGAAGAGAGTGACAGCGCGCTTTTACTCTGTATCAGATAAAAGAATATCCGGAACAACAAAAGGATGATAAGAAGAACCGAGATGGTAGAATGGGATATTTCACTTAGCCGCCATCAGTCAGCGAAGAAAGATGTAATGAATGAAAATAGACAAGCAATGTGAAAAAAAGTTGGATCAGTAAGGTAGTAAGTATACTTCAAATAATCAACAAAATGTTAGGTAAGACTATCCAAAGGATATTTGTGTTTTTCTCTAGGGAAAGGTGAGCATCGCAAAGAACTGATACAGGTGTTTGGATGTAATAATACAGAAAGGAAAAAAAATTGTTGCAAGTTTTTTTATATAATTTTGTATAGTATCAATTTGAAGATCTCTGTGAATGTATGAATTTGGGATGAACCAGGGCTCATTAATAATTTCACGAAGGGTTTTATTTTGAATAATTTGGATCTTTTTTATGTGGGTTTTAGCGGCGTGTTCCCATACCGGAATTCCCTTTGAGGGACTCTTATTTCAAGATTTAGTTACTTCATGTATGTCCAATGACTTTGTTTCCTGTGACACGGACTCGTCTAACTCCAGCGATATTTACGGCTAAATTGTCAGGTTTATGAGTCATGCGCTATCATAAGGGTATTTTAAATGGATCGTTAACAGAGATAATGAAAAGGCATCATCTGTCTTTGCATAGCGAAAGATGGCGCATAAGGAAAAACAGAAAGAGTCTTCTAGCGCTTAACCATTTTAAGTGCGACCATGCATTTTATGATGAAAAATGTTTGTTTAAGCAAGCTTTATTGTCTTTTATAATTGGTTTCGATAGTTTTGAAACATCTTGTGTGTGTTTTCTGAATGATGTGATCAGTGGGAAGAGGATAAGAAAAGTGTTGCGCGATAGCCTATGAGAGTGCTATGACAAAGAGGTAACATATTTGATAAAGTACTTCTTTGAGCATATTCACAGTGCTTTCCAATTACTTATTACTACATTTTAAACGCAACCGAATTATCCTCGTCACTTGTCCTTCCTAGACAAGTGCGATTAAGTGTTATTGTTCACGTGTTTTTAGTATTATTTCATTGATTTAAAAAATATATAACAGAACATACACATTCTTAAAAATTTGTGCGCATTTATAGTAATAGTTTTATTATTGTACACCTAGCAAAAAAAAATCTTGGTGGCTCTGCAAATTTTTGCCATCATCTTAAAGTAGACATTTTTCTAAGCAATCCTGAAAAAAAAAAAAAAATAATAAATTTAAATTTTCCAAGATATACGAGAATTTATTTATATATTTTCGCGTTCTGAAACCTGGCATATTTGTCATAAGCAATAATAAAGCCAAATGTGCTTAACTCACTTCGTTAAAAATTCTTTGAGAGAATGAACTATGCAAAAATAAGTTACTATAAATTGAGAATTTCGCCCAGTGCAAAAATTGTGTTATGCGAGATACATGTATATGTACAGACGTCACTAAAAATATCTTTTGAATCCGTTTAAAATGCATTTTAGAACCCGTTTTGGAAAAAATGCCCTTTATTCTGTGCGTGCGTACAGATGTCACCCCCCAAAAATCGTCCAGATTAATTCGGAACTCTCCAAATGGACATTTCCTTTGAAATAAGACACGCAAAATTTTTTGCTATTAATATACTTCCTTTATTTCGCACAAGAAAGTAGAAAGAAAAACATTGTGCTCAGAATAAAGCATTTCCAATCACTAACTACTTGACATAAATTAGTTTATTCTGAAACTTGCTCAGACCCACAGCCTGATTTTCATGTAGGTCACGAGGCTAGTGTTTAAGGCCTCAGCGTTTAGGGAACCTCGAAATAATTTTCTAATTTATTGCAGTTTTGCTCTTCTTCATAAAAACCAGAAAAATGATTGTTGGAACCACTGAAATAACATTATGGTTAATATGTAAATTATTTTATTCCTGTTCTACTCAGAGAAAAAAATTATTTTCTAACTTGTTTGGTTATCGCTTAAATACATCCTAATCTAACATTTGTTGTATGGTTTTGATTCTAAATATTAAAAAAGGTGCTGGTAGTATCAGTAATTTCATCTAATTCAAATTCTGTGATTTAAATAATTCTATGAGTTGATGAATTTGATCTCTGACAGCCTGAGTAACGTTGATTAATACGTAATATCATAAAAATTTGTAAAGTGGAAAATTAACAGAAAACATTAAAAGTTCAATAGAAAATGCTTAAAGTTTAATAAAAGACACATCAAAGTGTAATATAAACACATAAAATTTAATATAAAGCACATAAATTTTAATATTAAACTCATTAAGTGGAAAGGTTCTTACAGACAAGGTTTGCGGATATGCTTGCTTCTTTTAAGTAAGAAAATGCGCAAGCATACCCACAATTATACATAACTAAATCTTAATGCATTTTTCCCCTGTATTTTTCATTTTGAATATCATAAAAGAATTGCTCATAGTATCAATAATTTCATCTAATTCAAATTCTGTAATTTAGATGCAAAAAATTTGATAAATTTGATCTTTGAAGGCCTCAGTAACTTTGAATATTGAGCGATATTGTAAAAATGTAAAACTAAAATGTAAAATTAAAACATAAAATTCAATAGAAAACATTTAAAGTTGAATAAATGACACATACAAATGTAGTGTAAACACATAAAATTTAACATTAAATTCATAAAATTTAAAGGTTCTTACGGGTAAGGCTTGTGAGTATGCTTGCTCACTTTAAATGGGAAAGGAATTGGAATGGGTAGAGGTACGAATCGGGGTTTCAAAAGCTTTCCCAAAATGATGGCCAAAGCAATATCTTTATATAGGAACCAAGCAGTTATCTGTGGAACTAGATAACATGTTATTAGAAGAAAGGCACTGGCTCGCTGATATGTCCAATATACCATTTTATCTGAAAATAAAGGTAGATTAGGAAACAAATTTTACATAGAATTTTAATAACTCATTTCTCTTAAAAACGCCTTTCAACTGATTTTAAGCATACAGCGTTTAAAAATGTAAATAAAAAGTGAAGTAAACCTATTCATATTTAAAATAATTACTAAATCAAATAATTTTTAATAAGCCTTCAAGAATCATTTTATGCAGGCCCTTCTTAATTTTATGCTGCTGTTACCAATCTCACTTGTCTGACAAAGATCAACACAAGCTCACGACATTCATCGTGGCAGGGAGTCATATGCGCCTTTATCATCGATATGGTGTCAAGAGCCTTGAGCACCATATCGATGATAGCCAGACTTTAGCTCAATTCCGGATGGAATTTTGAAAGAGAGCAGCCCGGGAAGACGGGTCCGAAGGTCTCCCATCCCTCTTCCCTTACCACAACCTGTCAAGAGGACTTTCGACTAGCCGCATATTTTGAGTGACCCGCGCAAACACTTAGAAATATCCATGCCTTTTCCAGAATTCGAAACCCTTCGGTATGGTAGTCAGAGTCGTTAACCACTATCCTGGTTGGTCTGAATTTTATACTAACTATTGGATCCGTCCATAAATTCGTGCGCATTTTTTGGTAAATTTTTAAATAATATAAAAAACACAATTTAACATTTTAATCAATTATATATTTTCCTCCATTATCTGCAATGTCTTGCCATCTTACAGGCAGTTTTTTTATGCCGTTGCTGTAGAAAGACTCTGGTTTTGATGCGAAAAAACTTGAAAGTTCATTGTGTGCATCCTGTTTAGAATTTAATTTTTTACCCAGTAAAAAAAATTGTAAGGCACGAAATAAGTGAAAATCACTTGGGGCAATATCTCGGGAGTAAGCAGGATATGACAAAAGCTCCCAATTAAATTCACTCATTTTTTGCAGCGTTGTTCGAGCCGTATGCGGTCTGGCATTCATGATGAAACAACACTTTCTGAATATTCACCAATCGTGGGCGTGTTTTGATCAATTCTGAGTTTAGACGGCAAAGTTGTTCACTATAAAATTTTGAATGAATCGTTTGATTTGGTTCTAAGAGTTCAAAACGCCCTGAAACAGGGTTCATCATCAATGCTGATTTTTCCAACATTAAATTTTTGAAACCTTTTCTGGGAAGTCCTTACGCTAATAGTGTGTTCACCGTGTACACTATTAATTTTATCGCTGCAAACCTGGCAGATTCACCATACGAAAATAAAAAATATAGCACAGCACGTTTTTACTGATTATGTATATTCATCTTCTATATGGGTACTAAAATGCGTTTAATATTTAAGAAAGTTGGTGATGAACTGAATAATATGTTAGTCAAATGATGACAAGTTTCAACAGGTTCAAAATTGTATTGTTTTAATAAATCCGTCATAGTGAATTCCACGCATACTCTTAATGCGCACGAACTTACGGACTGAGATCGATACTTCTTAACCCTTTGTTGCATCATGTCCACTCTGGTAGACAAAAGTTTAAATTTGTTTATTCTTCTGTAAATGCCTTAACAGATTCTATTCCTATGTTTATTCGTTCTATATTATTAGAACTTTTAATTGTGTCGATCATAGATGGCTGAATAGCATCACTAAATAAAGCATTGCTATTTGGAAAATGGCTGCTACTTCTATTTCCAGGTTAGTACAATTTCTCATAGTAAACATTATATAATATTGCTTACATTTTCTTATACTGCCATTTTCATAATTAGTCATTTTAGACATTTTATTTTAAATGTCAGTTTGCGAAATTGTGGAGTGGGATACAGATCTACCGAAAAGAGTGAATTGAAACCCAAATGGACTGCTCTCATAGCCAAAACATTATATAAGGATTGCTGGCAAGGAATTTCTGGAACATTTGACATTTGAATACCAATAGGTACAGGTTACAAAATTGTAGCAAAATTGAATTCTATCACAATCGACGACGAAATGGAAGGTATTTTGGAGGGATCTGTATGTGCATGTCAGTTGTAGATTTACCATTTAGAAGATGATAATGATCACTGCAAACAAGGCAGGAAATGATTTCAAATGCAATGATCGTAAATCGTTGGGAAGAGATTTGTAAGCATGTAAGTACGTATATGCATGCTGTCCACTGTAGTGAACAAACTGTAGCAATTATTTAAAACGAAATTTGAATAAAATTAATTTTTTTATTATTACTAAGGTTATTTTAAGTAGAAAAAATACAAACATTTTTGTTTAACTTCTATAGATTATTTGTATGCAACAAAGGGTTAATTTTGTACTTTTCTTTTTCGTTATTTAACTTCTGGTTTCGATTCCGACTGCTAAATAAGATGATTCCTTGAAAATTTGGTAGATATTCGTACTTGCGATGTGAAAATCACTCCGTTTTCTTCAGAAATTTCTCATGGAGGCAGTCTTTCTAGAGCAAACAATTATCGAGAATTTTACCGTAATGAATTATCTAAGTTAAAAGTACATGTTGCCACCGGATCAATGCCTCAAAATTCTTTTTCACTTTGAAATGCACTATAAAATGTTCATAATTCAACTGTTTTAACAAATGTAAACACGTTTTTAGATAAAAATTCTTCAGCTCCTTGCTTTGAAGAGGCAATCTGTATACCAACTTCCACCAATAACAGACTCGAGGTGTTTTTTTAAACTGTGGGCATAAGCAATTTTAGGCTTTGGACATAGGCCAGAAGCGATGGTTATTTTATTTTGGAGGCACTTAATAGGTGGCCACGGTTACCTCCTATGAAGGGACAGACAAATTACACCATGCCTTCTCCGGGATTCGAGCCCGGGCCCTTCAGCACAGCAATCAGAGTCACTAACCACTGTGTCTGGGTGGCAATGACATGAGGTTAAACGGGAATTCATTTACCTGTCTCTCAGCAGCTTAAACGTATTTACCACGACTTAATTTGTTTCTGTTCGGCAAAATGAGCGATAAAAATGGTCATATGAATTTTATTTATCACCTAGGAAAAGCTGTTAGGAAAATATAATTTAAACTATCCCAAAAAGTTAAAAAAACTTCTTTACGAAATTACTTAACATGTTTGAAACAAATTTCTTCTTTTTTCTTTTAAAATTATTCGGTGTATTATTATTAATATTAATATTACTATTATCAATTATTATTTTCTCCTCTGAGTATAAGAGAGATAATAACTGAAAAATTTTCAATTCTTGTTTATATTCTTGCTTTTAGTTTGCTTTTAAAGGTGCTTTTATTTGCTCATTTGTATTTACCACATTCTGTACGGAATCAATTACCTAATACTGATTTTTGAATTTTTATACAATCAACATCTTAAAAGTTTATCTTAGTTCTATTATAAGTTTAACCATTTGCAATCAATTAACTTGCTCTCTACATTTTATTTTACGATGTATTACATTTCTTTAACAGATTATGGCAAAGCGCTCAAGAATTACTTCTCTCAAAAGATGGATGACTCTATTCTCACTCAAGTCACAAGTGGAAAAAACACGAAAATGCTCTTGGAGTCACTGTATGTGCTGGAATTTGAGCCCAGGTCGAACTACTATTTGTCAGCAGTCTTAAATATTCAGACTTTAATGAATTTTATGTGATTTGAATATAAAGATGGTTTATAAGACTTCAAATAACGGACATAGAGTCGATATATAGGAATTTATGAAAAAAGACTTCTACGGAATTAGGATCATTTCGAAAACCTCGAATTCTTTCTCAGAAGTTCTATCTATACGCTTATAAGGTATCTCTTCTGCCTTCTTAGCATGCCTTCGTGGTTTAATGGTCAGCGCGCTCGGCGCGTATCGAAAAGTCTGAGGTTCGAGAACTGGCGAGAACATGAAAGATGGTAATAAAGTCTGTGACAGCTAGTTTAAGTTATAGTAATAGTTAGGCTTAATATAAATACTGTCCTACTCGCCCTTTGATGCTATATATTCCCTCGAACAGCCTTCTAGTCGACCTAATATTATGGGTATGAAAAACCTACATTGTGAGTGATTGCAAAGAATTCCATCGCAGTCCGAGGTTGGTAAGTGCCCTTAATCGCGCTATGAAGTAGATGAGTTTCCTTGAAGTTCTTCCCCATTAAGTAGCGATTATCTATGGGAAAAGGTCTTATTTTAGAGGATTTGATTTTGATCATTGCACATTTCCAGTAATTGTACATTCTTGGTTATTGTTACTTTGGTTATTGTTCATAAGTACTCCACTCTTCAATTTTGTAAATTCTTACTTTATAAGGTATTTCTCCCACCTTCTTGGCGTGCCTTCGAGGTGTGGTGGTCTGCACACTGGGCCTGCATTCCAGAGGTGCGTGGTTCGATTCCCGGCAAAGGCGTTTGCTAATTTTTCATCTCTCCGGCCTTACCAATTAACCAAATGTCTCTACAGTGGCGCCCGAACTAAAAGGGTGTTGTATGATAATTCTCCTCACCCAGGATTTGGCGATTGGGTCCCCTAAAAACACCAGTCGCCTTTTAAAAGGGGGAGTATATAAGGTATTTCTGCCACCTTCTTGGCGTGCCTTCGTGGTCTGCATACTGGGCCGGTATTCCAGATGTCCGTGGTTCGATTCCCGGCTAAGGGGTTTGATCATTTTTCATCTCTCCGAGTTTTCCAATTTACCTAAAGTGTGTGTGTGTGATTATGGCAAAGCCTCGAGAGCTGTCTGCCAAAGGGGAGGGATGCCTTCGTGGAGGACCTTTCTAAAGGAAACTGGCTCGTATACTCGTTACACATGGGGAAAAAACACGAAAACTCCCATGCAGCCAGCCCGTTCGCGGGATTCGAACCTCAGACCGAACTACCAGTGTTCAGCGACTTTACCGCTCGGCCGCTTGTGGGCAATTTACCTAATGTATGTACAACTTTAGTTTGTAGTCCATCAGCTGTGCTCAAATAAAGCTCAGTTTTCAGCAAGCTATATTTATTTACTGAAGATGCAGACTTCCTTTATACCACGTTGGCATGTTGAAAAGAAGGAGAAAATACTTTATAGCATGAGTACCATCTTTTAATTATACTCATAAAGAAATGAACTGTAAACCTAAGATTTAGTGACTGTCGTGTAATCTTTCTTTTTCTTTTCTTTTCTTTTTTTTTTTTTTTTTTCGAAAAGCAATTGTAATTGACAAGCATGCTGAGGCTGCCAGCTTTTAAGGAAATTTAAAATAAAAGAAAAAATGAAAGGATCCCATAAAGGTCATGATAAACGTTTCAACTACCTTTTTATGCGCTCTAAAGCTTCTTACCATAGAAATATATCACATGAAAAGATTTTCTTTGGGAAAATTCTCACTTCCTTTGTTGAAAATTACTATTTCGATCTAATTTTGATTTTATGTTCCTTTACTAAAAATTTATATATAAGTATTAATTTTCTTATATAATATTTTTTATATTTTATTACATAATATATATATTTATTTACAAATAAGCATTAATTAATTTAGTTTTCATCTTTTTGAAAATTACAATCGGCAAATATACATTACATATATATTTGATTTGCTAAAGTTTGCATAAAATAATTTTGAAGTTTGTACTAATAATCCCTAATATCCCAATGACATTGCTGTAAATTTTTATCATCAGTATTTTCAATGATGCAAAAGAATATCTTAAATACTTTATAGTTAAAATTCTTCAAAATATACGGTATTCAATGGATACAATTGATATAATTCATGCACTATTCTTTCATTGTGAGCCTCTTCTCTAATTTCGAACTGAAAAAACTTACCATCACAATTTGTAATAAAATAGCTATATTAGATTGGCGAAATTTCTTTGTGAATTATAATTTAAAAGAAATTTGTTTACAAATGTAAATTTCTGTAATTTTTTTTTCTCCAACAGCGCAGCACTTGCCATTTAAACATTCTCAGATAAACAGAGAAACATACTGGTCATACTGGTCTGTGTTGAGATGTAGGATACACCACAAGGATAAATCGACTTTGTAAATGCAAAAGACGTATAGATGTGACAAAAGGCTGTGCTCTGCCCAAGAAGTGAACTCAGACCAATTAGTCTGTTAACTGCAATGATCGGACTGCTCTGATATTGAAGTAAAATTGTTGTTTTGAAAGAGTCAAAATTAATAATCTTTAAAGCTACATATGCAGAGTCCGAGAAATTTAATTTAATCACTGAACTAAATTAAAATTTGCTATGAATATTATGTATAAATTAAGATCTAAACTTAATTTAAGAGGGAAAGTAAATGCATGCTTTTCTTAAATTATGCCTCAATTAAAATGTAAAATTGCAGGATTTATATAAAAGCGGCATATTGCAGGAACCGTACATAAATTTTCAAACCGTCTTTTCGATTCATATTTCAGTAAATGCAGCTAAATGTAACTAAGAAATGTTTTACGAAAACATTTCTTAGAATGTTAAGAAATATTTTCGTAAAACATTTCTTAGCTGAGGTGTCCTTAATCAAATCAATTTTAATATCTCCAAATAACGTTTTCAATACAGAAATGAAATTTTTAGATACAAAAGTTATACACACTATATTTAATAAAATGTTAAATTAAATGGACATAAGTTTCGAAATCTTCATGTTAATTCTAGCCCATGCAATCAAAGTAAAATTACTTTGATTTTGGATAAAAATTTAACAGAAAACTTCATGTAAGCATTATAACATAATTTAAATAATTTTAAAATGAAAAAAATAATATTTTCATTCATAATTATTTAAAAAATGTTTTGCGTGTATGAAATATGTATTAAAATGTAATAAAAATGTAAAATTTTGAAATAGAAAGTAAATTTTTATCATTATTACTTTTTGGATTAATAGTAAAAAAGAAAATACTTACTTTAAAATACTTAGACAGTTCCCACAGGTGAGTAGAGACCAAGTGATGACAGTTGCAAGGTCCAAACAATAATAAGCTAATTTCCTTCACTGTTTTGATGTTAAATACGGAGTATTCCCAACCTTGTGTGCCACCTCCCATCTTCAAGGCCAAACCTTTTAACGAATTCGGGGACAGCCCTTTTTTTGGACGCTTTTCGTGCCATTGATATCGGATGTTCCACATTCGAACTCCTACGAATTTTTCGACTATCTCTTTCAAATGAATCACACGTCCTGGCGAAATTTTCCTGTACGCTTGAGGAGAGCTGAATGCTGTTCCTTACGTGGACAGTGGATACTCCACTGATGGCTATCACTATAATCTGGAGAGTGTGTTTTATTTTCCGACGTGATGGATTGGAACGTTGGTGAAGCCACATAAAAGCCGCTAAAAAATGGGCAGGGCTGCGATAGATTCCGCCATGTTTGTTCACAGCTTCTAATCCAAACCGAAATTGTTTGCAATATGGGCCTAAAAATGGGCATTTGCAGAAATTTTTATTGTTGTTGTTGTTGGTGGTGGGGAAATAGCTACATCAATAAACTTTCATTTAATTATTTAATTTGGGGGTTGACAAACAGATATTAGCACACAGTATTAAATCAACATAAAAAATACATAGTACACTGATACATCATGTATCCATTAATGCAAAAACTCTCGTTTTACACGATTCCGCGAGGGGAAGTCTTTCCCATCTCTGAGGGAGCTTATGGTAGTAGATAATAGTGCTTCAAGATTGGATGGTTACTTGAATATGGCAAAACACACGCAAGTTACTTGCTTAAGGGGAGAGATACCTTCATGGAAGACGTTTTAAGGAAAACTGGCTCGTGTTCCTGTTACACAGGGGAAAGGCAATGAGAAACAATCATGCAGCTAGCTCGCTTACCTGGATTACTGTGTGCGTATTCGAGAGGTCCATGGTTCGAGTCCCGAAGTGCTCATTTTTCCCATCTCCCACTTCAGAATAACCTAATGTCTCTACAACCTGACCAAGATACAGCTGTATGTTGCGCCCTATCTGTTATTGTTCAAACTCTTTGTAAATAGTGTAAATAGTACCTAACAATTAGGTTCAATTCTTACACTTTTGTAATCTCTTGAATAAATAATAAAAGACAGAGGTCCAAAATAGTGCGATTTATCGGTCCGCTGGCGAATCTTTAAGTCAGATTAAAAAAAAAAAAAGTAGAAAAGATGCGTTTCAGCCGCCAGATTACTAGTGCAACGACTAGGATGATATCCAGCCTTGTAGTGCCCTTATTCTGAGTGGCGGAGTAAGTAACAGTAAGTCACTAACCTTATGGTGTAACTAGAAACACATCTGCCTGGCAAATAGGAGGACCGGAGTTAAAATCCCGGTGAAGGCATTGTATATTTTTTTCTGTTTCCTGTTTACATAATATCTAATAACTCTACAAATGGTGCCTGAACTAAAATGCGTTGAATGGTATTCCGTCACCTTCTGGAATTGGCGATTGGGTCCCCTCCTTCCCAGTCATCTTTCAAATGGGGGAGAGTATAACGTACTTTTTTTCCTCTTTACTTTCGTCTTTGTGGCGTAATTTTAGTTTTCAGGTCTTACTTCAGGTGGAGTGGTATTACCTCAAACACGTACAGATTTCAAATTTTGTATTCGTATGTGCTAAATCGAAATTTTTTTGAGAAAGAGTTTTTATTTTATGGAGAATAATGTGTCTTGTATTGCAGTGAACAAATAAACACATAATTATCAACACATTAAAGTAACAAAATGCAAAAGAATTAAAAAAAATTATTTTAACTATATTGCATTTTTTATGAAACTACGGACAAGTTTTAGTAAAAAAAACAAGTCTCCAATCGCTTCATATTTGAAAGCCAGTAAAACGATTTAAAGATACCCAAATGATTTAAAGCAATCCAACCAATGGATTGCTTTAAATCGTTTGGGTATAATTAAATTATATAATTATATATAATATATATATATATAATTATTAATATATTGCATTATATGTTTAATAATTTAAAATTATATAATTTATAATAATTAAAATTATATAATGCGATTGGGTATAATTAAAAAATATAATTATTCCCAATCGCAGATGTATTATATCCTTTACAATACATAAGCAAGCTATATATTGCATCTTTGTCCAACCACACTCCAAAAAGAAAAATTTGGAAATAATATTTTCTGTTGTTATTCCAAGTCTATATTTTAGATATTAATAAATACGAAAATAAATATGAAAGTTCAGTTTTCTCCCACACAAGTAGCTAATATTTGTTTGCAGTGCAGATATCAAAGTACTATTTCATTTCCTCCCACGCATGTTGATGCATATCTTGTTGATTATAGTAAAGACAACAGGCGATTATTTAGCTACAAGTGGCTGTGTTTTGTAAATTCGTCAAAGCTTACTTAGAAAATTATTTCACTGTCGTCATCTGCATACAAACCGGCTGGTTAAGGTCACTGCTGTCATTACTGTAGCAAACTTTTATGTAAAGATAATCTGGCCTATTTTTAACAGTGGTAAACCTGATCAATTTCTAACTGGTTTGGGCTAATGTACGTCCGCTCAAATGCACTTGCGCACATCATTCCTGCGGGAACATGACATTTTCTAACAATTTTAAACAGTTATGGACAACAGGTGACAGTTCTCCACAACCTGACAGATCAGTCTTAGGATTAATTGACATGATATTTTTAAGTAGCGTCCTTTTTTGTCCTGACGGTTGTTCTGAATGTTTTTTGTGATTTATTAGTTGCCTTCCCCCCCAAAATCGTTTTAGAACATTTACATAAAATAAATTTCACCTTTACTGAAATGTCTAAGCAGTCTATAACCACTATCGGTATGTATGCAATATTGTTTAAAAATATAATTATACATCCTTACAAATTTTAATTTATAAGTTTATTTTTATATTTCTTTTTAACAAGATAATACGCATTAACAGAAATTGAAGGTGATTATATCTTTAAGTTAAGATTTCTTATAACTATGATTTTTTTGAGTTGAATGTACAATTTGTCTGAAACCACTGGTTATACCGTATACACTCACATAATGTCCGCACTTTTTTTTTACTAAAATTACATCACTAGAATGCAGGTACGGACATTACACGGGCCGTTTAAATGTCGCGCTTTTTCTCGTGAGTAATTTTGGCTGTAAATTTCATATCAAACAGCCAAGTTAAGTTCTGAGTGGAAGAAAATGGCATAACTAATAGAAGTATCAAATTTGAAGTTGTCTAATAGTTACCTAAAATTTACAAACTCACTGTCTCCGATCCACATATATAATATAAATTACCCCGTTTACGTTACGTACCCATTACGTTTACGTACCCGTTACATTACGTGCGTATTGGTTCGCACAGGAGCTCAATATAGAGGCACAAAATTAACCAACACTTGCAATTTTAATCTTTACTTTTAAACATTAAATAAACGTTGGTTCTTTTAATATCTTGCACACACTATTTTAAAAAATAAAACTCTGTTCTTATGCACTGTATGACAATTCATTTAGTTTCATCATTCGCCGCAACCAGCCTTCACTCTCCTTGAATTGCCATGCAGGAATGTCTCCTCGAGCCGCAGCAAGCGCTCTTAATTGGCACATTTCCCGTGTTATTGTGTACCCTTGAGCACGCATATCACAAACATACACAACTACTTTTTTTCGAAGTTCGGAAACTTACATTTGGAAACACGAAACCCACGTCTTGTTTTGTTTGTTACCGTCAGTTGATCACGCTGTTTGCTCCAATTGCACACACAATTTTCGTCCACCTTATATACTCTTGCTGCTGCTATTTTTCCATTTTCCTGCGCAAATTCTACGACTTTCAGTTTAAAAGCCGCTGTATAGCTGCTGTATTTTCCCATTTCAAGCTACTTGCTAACTAACACGAATTCCAAATGATACTATGAATTAAAAGAGAAAGCTTGAAATATGCGAATGCTCCAGGGAGGAAGGAAAGGAAAGTATTTTTTAATATTTCCTGGAAGCCAGTGTGGTGAAAACCTAAGTGGTCTGCCTTCATTTATTATCGCGTCTGCCGAGTGGATTGCTGGCACCGATGTTATGACTGAATAACAGCTGCACCACAATGGAAGGAAAGTCTCTGCTTTCCATCCTGCCGCCAACCAAAGACGAAACAAATGCATATTCTTTCATCAAAGATGTTTATTGACTAAAGGGAAAAAGTCGATGTTAAAAAAATATATTTTAAAGTAAAATTGATTATGATAAGAACTAACAGATTGCTTAAAAATCAAGTACATCTTTTCGATGATCTTTACAATACATACTGCAAAATGATTATCGAAAATCCTCTGGATCTTCGTTCTGGAGAAAAATATGATGCAAATGGTTTCCTCTGTAGTCTCCTTTATTAGGAAAATTTCTATCGCGTCCAGCTATACCTTTGTTGTTGATGATAAGATCTCAGCATTATTTACTGGATACTTGCTACGAGTATTTTAGTTTCAGGTGATATTTTTTGCTTATGGCAAGTAGTAGAAAAAATATTCCATGCAAATATAATGTACTGAAAAAGATAAAAAAAATGTCAATCAGACACTATGGGGGTGGACAGAAAAAAAACTTCACGCTTTTTAAAATAAAACAACAGTGCAAATACAAAGAACTCGTTTTTGTTCATGTTGTGGCTTGGCAGTTTAATATACAACATTATTGAAAATAAGAATAAAAAGTACGCTTATACGAGAGCTATTTAGAAAATAAGGAGCGTTTCCGTCTGACGTCGCTAGACGCGCGTCGATTACGTATATTTTGGTGTCTGTGTGATCGGCATCTCAGTCGGCGTCCAGCCATCACAACGGGAACATTTCCACGCTGCTCGTTTTTTCGATATTCAAATTAAAAATGTGGGCTGCAATTGAAAATCCCGCCAGTTGTGAGGTGCGGTCTATGATACGGTTTTTGTTGGCAAAAAACCTAAAATCTATGGAAATTTATCGGCAAGTGAGTAAAGTGTACGGAAACAACATAATGAATGAAAGTTCAATTCGGAAATGGTGCATTCAGTTTAAAAATGGCCGAACTAGCGTTCACGATGAAGAGAAGAGTGGACGCCCTAGCATTGTGACTGACGAACTGGTTGCTAAAGTTGATGAAAAGATTCGAGAAAACCGCCGTTTCACAATAACAGACCACAATAAAGGTCAGCGAACGGGGGAAGCTTTGACATTTCTGGAGGCCTACGACAGACATGGTGATTCATTACTGGATCAAATCGTAACTGGTGACGAAACGTGGGTGAGACACGTGAATTGCGAGACAAAATTATAGTCCATGCAGTGGGGGCACACAAGTTCCTCCAAAAGACCAAGAAAATGTTTGCAAACCTTTGTCACCAAAGAAGATTATGGCGACTGTGTTTTGGGATAGGCAAGGTGGGCTTCTGATTTATTTTATCGAACGTAGTGCCATAATAGACTCTGAGCGGTAGTGTCAAACTCTGCGCAACCCTAGGCAAAACAAGGGCCGAGGAAAGTTGACGTCCAAAATTTTGTTTTTGCACTGCAATGCCCGACCTCACATGGCAAATCGAACTCAAGAACTCCTTAATTCATTCAAATAGGAGGTTTTCCCTTATCTGCCCTATAGTCCCGATTTTGCACCTAGTGATTTTCACTTGTTTCCAAGAATGAAGAACTGGCTAGCAACACAGCGCTTTGATGACGACAAGAAGCTGCGGGTGCGCGTCACTGTGTGGCTGAGATTGCAGGCGGCAGAATTCTATGACAAAGGAATTTCAAAGCTTGTCCACAGCTATGATAAGTGCCTCAATGTGTTTGGTGACTATGTAGAAAAGTAAAATTTTAGTCGCTCTTTCTGATGTATATAATAATTTTTTTTCTTGTACATAGTTTTTCTTTTTAATTCCAAAACGTTCCTTACTTTCCGAATAGCCTACGTATTAAGCTCTAAAAATTATACTTTTTACAATCTCGATTTAAGTAACACTAAAGGAAAGAAGTAGTATTTAATTTTAGTATCCTTAGTATTTAAGTAACACTAAGGAAAAGTCGTAATCCGAAAGATCACGTAACCTGAATAACAATCAAGTTGTCCTCGTTGGGAAATTAAGTGCTCCTGGAACACTCTGGTGAACATTACTGTCGAATATTCAGCCGTGTGGGCTGTTGCTTATCTTGCTGAAACCATACGTAGGTACAGTTTGTGTGCCTTCTTCGAAGTTCTGGAGACAGCAGGGAATCATTCTGCATTCACCGTAACTGTCTGATCCTCTTGTTAAAAGAAATATCGATCCAGTCATCCCAAATTGTGATATTCCACACCACACTTTAACTCGCTGTGAATCCAACAATGTGTGAATTTAAAAGGACAATATTTGCAATATGTTATTTTAAGAACTGAATTTCGGCGAGATGTTTATTTTTATATCTCCCCCCACTAATGGCATACTTTAAACTGCAAAACTACAGCATGAATAAATAAAAATAAGTTCTCTGTAACTATATAAAAACTTTACTGACTATTTATAATTAATTCTAGGCAATATTTGTCAAATTCCTTTCTTCCTGATTTCATTTTTTTATTTTATATTTTTATATATTTAAAAATTTTCTTTTGATGTTTACATTCTTGCATCATTATCTACATTTATCTGTATAATTTTTCATCTGTATCTGTACACATCTTAAAATTGTATTACTGTTATAATTGTATATATGTTTTATATGTTTCTTTGTACCCATTCTATAATGTAAAATTGCGATTCCTTATTTATATAAAAACTTACGTAAAAAATTCTCAATAAATACCTGCTGACCACAAGCCACCTACTTGACTTGGTGTTGCAGATAGTAGATGGTACTTGCAATGATGGTGAGGCTGTTCCATTAATGGTGTTTTGTATTTACGATGTTATTTCTTTTCAAAAGCTGTCAGAATTTTCTGCCGTCATCAGCATTACCCTAAACCATAAACCTAAAACAGTTGCTTTAAATGAAATACATTTAAATTCTCGAAAGTGTTTGCTTGTGAGAAAAATTTCAATTATGAATTTTGTGCAATAATTTTTACCATTTTTTAAAGAATACGCTTTTGTTTCTTATATCACTACAAAAATCTAATAATAATATTAAGAAAGCATGTAAATGAGTACATTAAAAATTACCAGATTCCTGGTTAGGACATGGTTTCGATGATAAGACTTCTTCTCCTGTACCCTTTAATTGATAATTTATTTCTAGAATACCGTCATAATAAGAGTTAGGGATATGAAAAAAATGTCATGATTTGTGATATAAATATTATCCCAACATTTAAAATTCAGTATTGTGGAGTTACCCTTATCTCGGAGTCTGAGAACATACTTCATAAAACGGCTGAAACTTTTTAAAGTCTAGGATATAATGCAATTGTCTAGGATATAATGTAAAAGCCTAGGATACAATGTAAATGTATACACTAGGCCAAATGATATTTTAACTTGAACATTTAATGAACTCTTATCAACGATTTTTACACACTATGATATGGACGACAAGAACATGAATATTAACAGGAAAATTTTATTTTTTAGTTTATTTCTACACTTTTTTATACCCTTTGTTGCATCTATTTCACATTTAGCACATTCGAACACATACATTTGCATTTGTGAAACAGAAATCAATCAGGTATGCCATCATATTTTGCCGTAATTAATTAATCACCCGAAACCAGCCCATACGATTAAACGGGCTCACCAGCAGCCAACTAATAAAGTCGCTGAACACTGATAGTTCCAATCTGGGTTTGATTCCAGGCAAACAAGCTGCCTGCATGTTGTTATTTGCCTCATTTGTAACGTGTATACGAGGCAGTTTCGCTTAGAAAGTTCTCCACAAAGGCATCCCTTCTCTTAGGCAGATAACTCTCGAGTGCTTTGCCATCGTTAAATAAAGCTAACGATACAAATTAAGGCTTAGTATAAAGCAGACGAGTTGTTTCAACTCTTTAGTAGTATATATGTATACACAGTTTATGGGGATGGGAGTTTTGTAAACTTAAATGCTCATATCTAGAGCCTGAAATGAAAATAGTAAAAGATGATTATTCTTTTCTATTCATTAACCAATGGTTTAGCGGCATGCTTGGTATGGTGTTCAATACGGCGTGGTTAAAGATGGCGTATTTCTCTGTACTTGCAGCGTTTGTTTTACTACTTACCGGCATTGTTTCCGAAAGGGCAGCACGTGCTACAAAAACAACGTGTTACGCAAATTTGCACATGATTTAGCCTGCCTCCTTTTTTATCCATTCATATTGATAAAGTGGATAGGCCTTCTTTTGTTCGACGTCTTTAGATAGATTCTATGCCGGACTTGCCGCCGAAGGGTTAATGAACTGGCTTTTTCTTCGCACCCACATCAAAGTTCTATAGATAGCTCCGAAGACGCCTTGATCCGTATTGTTACAAAGGTGGAGGCATTAGGGGATTTTCCTCGAATGAATTGCCTAATTTTTGTAAAGAATAAACTCGAATATTTTTTTTTTAAACTTGAATTCGTGTGTAATGACAAACGAAATGAACCAGAATTTTTATTCTAATGTTAGGAGTCTTAATGCTGAATTGAGTTTTAAGCTTTTATATTTCAAAGATTGGTTGGATGGGTAAAGAAATTTTTCCACTCATTTCTTTCCGTTTGTAGAGAGTTATCAAAAGCTTTGGTAATTAAGAAATTTAAGGAATTAGTTGCTCCACCTAAAGTAGCAAGAAGAAACCGATAATGGAAATAACAGGAAAGAGAGCTTACAATGTGTTAACATAGCATACAATGTGTTAACTAGTCTCTGTTCTAAGTTTAGTTCTTATGTAGTTAAGTTAGTTTATTTCTTATTTTTAGATCACGCGTATTGGTCTCTGTATCCCGAAGTGCAGGAGCGGCTGTATGCTGTGAAAAATAAAGGGTAAAGTTAATCCTTCTTGGCGGTGTTGTTTGTCTTACACACTCACGAGTACAGTTTTGAGTAGATCCCTGCTCCCATTTAGGATTAGTACATATTTACAAAGGCAATTAGAAGGAACAGTAGCCCTGACAATGTTTATGCTTTTATCTGTTTTCCATTGCTGGTGCTATTTATTCAATAATTTTGGCTGGTGCCAAAATGAAATCAAACAGGCAGATTTCACTGGATGGATATTTTAAAAAACAACAAGCATTTTTGAAGTTGTTAACAGAATTTATAAAAAGATTATTTTCTAAACATTTACAAAACTAAATTACGTAGTATGCCATCATATATAATACACAGTAGCAGCTTGTGCACAGAAACATTGTGCACATAAATGTATACATATTTATACGCACACAAAATTCTGGGAATGCCCGCATTCTCTCATTTCAAAATTCTTTTAAAATTGAGTGATGTTCATCAGTTACGTATCAATACGTATCCTGCGCTTCATGCAGATTTCATAAATGCGCAAATGTGATTTTGAGAAACACATTTTACTTCGTTGTACGAAGTAAAGTGAGTACTGTAATCGCGAAAAATTTCGGGTATCACATTTCAACAAAAATATGCATTTTGACCCCTCTCGAATCCATTTGAACGATGTTTTTGTGTGACATCTGGAAGTACGAACAGAATAAAGAGCTTTTTGTTTCCAAAACGGATTGTAAAATGATTTTGAAATGGATTTAAAAGAGATTTTTTCCCCACCATGTCTGTACGTACGTATATATGTGTTTATCTCGCATAATTCAAAAATGAGTAGCCGTAGAGCTCTGAAATTTTGTATATAGAATTTCTATAACATTTAGTTGTGCACATCCCTTTTTCTTTGGAATCGGCGTCACCAAACATGTATATAATTTTCAGCTCAGGGAGTTCAGATTTTTATTGTTATATGTTTATAAATTGGGCACGTTTTTACTCTAGAAGTGGTTGAATTATGTTCTTCTTATGTTTATGTTAAGGCTTTAGTTAATCTGCATGCATTAGCTGTAGAATTACCAACAATTTAAATGTTTAAGTGCCCCTAGACCTAACGGGGTCTCCATTTGTTTACATTTGAGTTTCTTAGTAGAACAGTGAATAAGTAAGCTGGTGCACCAAATTCAGTGTCCTTTTGCACAGTAGGACCAAAAATTAACATTTAATTTTATGCACCGAAAATTTAGTTTTCTTGCTCGTTGGACGATACCTGTATTTGGTGTTTCAGGTTTTTTTTTTGTATTTTACAGATTTGAATAAAAATGTTTCGAGTTTTTATGCATTTTTGCCTTGCCGCGATGTGAGAGCTGAATTGATTGAATAAGAAATAGATGCCT